GTCCCAGCTACTTGGGAGGCAGAGGCAGGAGACTTGCTTGAGCCCAGGAGTTGGAGGTTGCTGTGAGCTGTGAAGCCACAGCACTCTACCCAGGGGGATAGCTTGAGGCTCTGTCTCAAAAAGAAAAAGAGAATTGCTTAGACCCAAAAGTTTGAGGTTGCTGTAAGCTATGACGCCACAGCACTGTACTGAAGGTAAAAAAGTGAGACTTTGTGTCAAAAAAAAGAAAAGAAAATAGCCAGGCATTATGCACTTGCCTATGGTCCCAGCTACTCAAGCAGCTAAAGCAGGAAGTTTGCTTGAGCTCAGGAGTTGGAGGGCTCAGTCAGCTATGATCAGGCTACTGGACTTCAGCCTGGACAAACAGCAAGACTCTCTCAAAAACAAAAAATGTTGGGCAGCCCCTATGGCTCAAGGAGTAATGCGCCAGCCACATATGCCGGGGGTGGCAGGTTCAAACCTGGCCCTGGCCAAAAACTGCCAAGAAAAAAAAACCAGTTATACTGGAAGCACAATAAGGAAAAGAAAATAAAATGAGTATACAGATTGGAATAAAACTAAATTTGCAGCTGATGGTGATGAAAATCTATGCAGAAAATCCCAAGGATCTATTAAAATAAACTAAAGGTGGGATGGCGCCTGTAGCTCAGTGGGTAGGGCGCTGGCCCCATATACTGAGGGTGGCAGGTTCGAACCTGGCCCCAGCCAAACTGCAACAAAATATAGCCAGATGTTGTGGCCGGAGCCTGTAGTCCCAGCTGCTTGGGAGGCTGAGGCAAGAGAATTGCCTAAGCCCAAGAGTTGGAGGTTGCTGTAAGCTGTGACGCCATGGCCCCCTACTGAGGGCGATGAAGTGAGATTCCGTCTCAAAATAATAAAATACGATAAGCAGGGAGTGGTAACTCAAACTTGGAATCCTAGCACTTTGAAAGGCTGAAGTAGAAGGACTAGTTGTGGCCAGGAATTTGAGACAGTCTGGTGGGCAATAGGAAGACTCTGTCTACATACACACACACACAATTAGCTAGCTGGGCTTAGTGGCATGTGCCTGTGGTCCCAGGTACTCAGGAGGATGAGGCAAGAGGATCTCTTGAGCCCAGGAGTTTGAAGTTGATGTGAGCTATGACAACACTGTACTCCAGGCTGGGCAACAGAGCAAGACCTTATCCCCCAAACAAAAAACAACTCCCAGAACTAAATGAGCTCCGGTTATATGATCAACATACAAGAAACACAACATTAATTGTATTTCTATATACTAGCTATGAACACATGGAAGTTGCAATTACAACCACAATAATACTATTTCTAA